CTACTATTCCATACGAACACAGATATAAAAATGTATAAGTTCGTTTATTCGGCGGACAACAGCTCAAAAAGTTCTTCGCCGGCTTTATTGAAATTTTGAACACCTGCTGCAGCCTTTCCAGGGATGTTTATAGGCGAAACTAAGCGCCAATCTGTATTTATTATTATCGATATTTAACATCGGAATTCACCAACTCCGGATACATAGATATTAATTTTAATTTTTTCCTTTAAGATTAATTGACAAATTCGCGAACAATTCTACAGCTGTCTAAAATGACCGCTTGAACACGAGTTTAGTTCTTAGGTTCAAAGCTTTCAAACTAGCAATCAGCTTCTTCGGGTTAAGACCTGTTGAAGAAACCACCACCGGTATAGTTGAAGCTGTCTTGCATTTCCAAGGCGTCCTTAATTCCCCGAAGAGGTCTGCATATATCTGTCTCTTCGTGTGTGTGCTATCCAGGTTGTTGTCGTTCACTATTACAAAATCAACAAGAAGTACCTCCTTCATTCGTTTTGCGTGAATCACCATGTCCAGTCTATTATGGCTTATAGTTCGATCCTAAAGAATCGTTCGATCCCAGTAAAGAATTTTTCATTTCTTTCAATTGCTGCTTTTGGAACATTTGGAACATTTTTCTTGCAAATGCACCCATTTTGATGAATTTGCATGAATTTGCCGGACTAAGCCCTGGAAGATTGTTCCGTGCACAGAAGTCTACCTAAGTGGGAAAAGCTTTTGACTGCCATGCACCTGGGAGTGGCCGGAACCGATTGTTTTGCGTACGGTTCATATCGCAGCTCACGACGTCCAGATATTTATATCCACGTATCATCTGGGTAGCAACAAAACACCCGAGCTAAAGTGAGAAGGTGCAAACATCGCGTGCACTGAGTTTGGTTCCCGTCATGTTAAAACCCCGCCCAATTAAAACAAAAAAATGCTCGTATGCTACCTCTTTTTTTATGGCGGCTGCGGCAAACGTATTTATAAAGAACTATGATCTGAGGGTATGCCCCTGGAATATCCGGACGCTTAATGGGCAAGGTTCCTCTGCCCGGCTCATTGATGTCCTCGAAAAGACAAAGGCTGACTCCATTGCCATTCAAGAAATGCGATGGACGGGACAAGACAAAGAAAAGACGTCTACTACAGCTGACACGTAAAAGAGCTCAAATTCGGTGATGGATTTGTAGTGGGAGAGAGACTCCGTCACCGAGTACTGTCGTTCACACCGGTGGACGAACGTCTTGCCACAATCTGCATTAAATGCGAAATTCTTCAACATCTCGCTCATCTGCGCCCATGCTTCGACGGAAGAGAAGGACGAGGCGTCCGAGGATCCCTGCTATGAGCGCTGCCTCCGACACGTTCTCAAAATTGTGCTTGACGATTTCAATGACAAAGTGGGCAAGGAAGGGATCTTTGGCGCAAATAATGGAAAATTCAGCCTCCACAACGAAACGTCTGATAGCGGACTGAGGCTGATCGACTTCGCCGGGGTCTAAAACATAGTATTATGTAGTACTAGGTTCCGACATAAAATGATCCATCAAGCTAAATGGCTGTCTCCAGATCCAAAAACGAGAAACCAAATGTTGTGAAAGACGGAAGATACGTAGCTACCTGTGTGCGCCAAAAAATGTGCGCGCAACAATGCAAGGAAAGCTCAATCACAACAGACGGCCAATTTATATGGCACTCGACTCTCACGCTTGCTCTCTGAGAGCACTCTTCAACAAACAGACATTCGCTACCTCATTAAGTACCGCCGCCGAAGAAGTAATCGGATTTCAGCAAGCTCGAAAGAAGAACTGATACGATGAGGTGTGTTAATAAACTGCGGAAAAAATGCCGCCTACACCCCACAACTCCCACCACCTGAATATGGCGAAGTAGGAATAGCGATTATGCGGCTGGAAAACAACATAGCTGCTGAAGCTGACGGCGTGCCAGCCGAACTATTCAAGTAAGGCGGCGAGGAATTGCAGGAAGGTGCATGCATCAACTGCAATCTAAGTCAGCTCTGGCCAATCTACAAGAAAGTCGACCCCGCCATACGCGCCTTCATCGAGTGTATTGTTTGAAAGACTGAAGCCCACCGTCAACGAACTAAACGATAGATGTGATTCCATATTTTGAAAATCGGAGCAATAGTTTTCGAAATATAAGCTTT